CACAGTGATCCGAAAGGCTTCTCTCACATAAGATGCAGAGAATGGTAGCTGTGTTTTATTTGGCATGTTTTTAACTGAAATCATTAAAACTTTAATATTAACATTAGTAATGTTTCCCCAGCAGTAGAGCGTTAGCCTATCATGCAGAAGGCCCTGGGTTCCAGCCTCAGCACTGCAGAAAGAAAATGAGTGAATGAATGATAATATTAATATTATTTTTATTAATTTATTTTTATTATTAATATTATTTAAGATAATATGTCTGTTACAATCATCCTAGTGAAAATTGAGTGACTCTCTTATCCAAAACAAGATGTTTATATTTTTGTGGATATTAACTGTAAGTGATTTTGCATTTGAAGTGATATTTCACACTTTGTAAAGACAAATGCAACATTTTACATGAAAGCAATTATTAAACAGTATACATGAAATTATTTTACTTCAGAATGTTCAGTAAACCTGTTAGAAGTTTCAGGCCCATCTTGTTGAGGAACTGACTAGACTGGACTGGACTGGGACGAGCAGGGCTTCTAGCCATTGTTGCCTAGTGCACAGTAATTTGGAATTTAGTATTGCTGATTAGCATCTGATCCTGTAGGTTCATCCTTTTACATGTTTGGGTTCCTGGTACTGATCTGACTTTCAGACGTTGCTGATTCATGTGTTCATTTCCATTCCATTCTGCACCCCCTTTGTAGTGGGGGACACTACTTACATGTTGTGCTGAGGGGGAGGGAGGAGAGTGGCCGCTCTGAAGAATCCAAGCCTTTGCCCAGCTTGCCTGTTAGTTAGTTCACTATATTCTCATGGATGTGGCAAAGTGAGGACAGCGCAGCCAGATCTCTCTGATTTGTGTGGCTACGACTTGGCCATAGGACTAGGCCTCTGTGATCTGGAATGGAAGACCAGGCAAGCGATGACAAATACAAAACTCGGGGATAGCAGAACTCATACAAGGAAGTGATAAATGTGTGAGCACATATGTAGTGATCTAAGGAATACAACTTTGTTGGATTTTAGATTTTTTTATTTAATATTACCAAAGTGGAAAACACATATATTTAACAGTGTTACAATATAAAGCCAAGTAGATTTTCAATGCCTTGTTTTTTTCAGGTTTTTAAAAATAATTTAAGCTATCATATGAAAGCCAAACTAGTTACTGTCATAGATTGTTATCTCTGTGACTAATGGAGTCTTTCTAGAAGTGAGTAGATGGATCCACATTTAATAAACCAACCAGTGGGAACTAAAGGTCCTACTTATATAGAAGGATTTATTTAAATTTACAGGATTATTTTTTTCTTTTTTATAGTGATTTATCTGTGAGCTGGTATTTTTAAGAGATGGGCAGGGTCACTCTGAGACTGTTTATTTCCCCAAATCCAGGGACACTGTATGGGCCTCACTAATGCACCAAGGCATTCTCCTACTATGCTTACAGGGCATTGCTTCCCTAGTGACCCAGTAGCATTGTTGCTATCCCACCATTGACACCTGCTGGAACCAGACACCATGCCACATTGCACAGTAAGGCCCTGAGGCCTCCCAGCAGCCCCTCAGCTCAGCGTTAGATTTTCCTGGGCTAGTGGCCATGCCCCTGCTACCAGGGCCTCACAGTGGATCCGCTCCTCCTTAGACTCTAGCTGAAGATTTTCCTGGCTTTGACTTTCTTGATGTTTTTAACCTGAACAATCAAGAGAAGAAAACAAAGAAAAATTGAATTCACAGTTCCAAAAGATCCTAAGTTTCCTGTGAGATGACACTCTTCTGTTAGCAAGCTCTCTGAGATGCCCAAGGTTGAATAAAGCCTCTAACATCTCTTCCAACTTCTGAGGTTTTGGGTTTTTTTTTCTCAGTTTTATTTTGTTTTGTTTTGTTTTAGTAGGCTTTCAAACATGCTAGGCAAGCGCTCTACCACTGAACTACATTGCCAGCCCTGGTTGTGTTTAGTTTTGAATATAGATCAGCAAAGTCAAAAGAAGCTTGGAAAATCTTAGCCCACTGATTGTACAGGAAGGGCAATGACTGAACCACTCTACTAGTTAACCTCTTAGAAAAGACATTTTTACTATAGAGAAACAGTTCTCCATTAGCCACTTGTATTTCTGCTTGTCTCATGAGGGAGACACTAACTAGTTTTTGTTCTAGATCCATCTTTTTAAGGAAAAGCTAATGACCTTGGAGGAGAAAAACAATGTTTATCCAGAACAAAAGGCTCACTTGTTTATTATCCAGTATCGTAAAGACAAAATCTCTCTTCAGAACAAAAGGAGGACTTGCTTATAGCTTTCTGTAAAGAGCTCTTTGTAAAGGTCCTCAGTCATGACACCAAACCACTTCACATGTAGCACTGAGCTTAGCCCACCCTGTCCTCCGTGGATGTCACAGGGACTGGTATGTCATGATGCTAGTGTGTCTCTTTGCCTGAGCTATATTATGCAGTCGTTTGTCTCCAATACAAGTCCCTCATCCTTTGCCACATCCATGCGAATATAGTGAACTAACTAACAGGCAAGCTGGGCAAAGGCTTGGATTCTTCAGTGTTGCCACAAGTTACTCTAATACGATAGAGAAACCTCCTTTCTTAAAAATGGCAGATAAAGAACTGAAATTCACTGATGGGGCATACATAGTTAATATGTAGAGTTGGTATTTTGTGTTTTAGTTTTATCACACCATAAAATTACTAGAATTTACCAAATGTCTATAGCTTCTTCTACCACTAGCTATAAGCTTCCATTCCCAGTAAAAAGGATTCTGACTTCTATCTGGCTGAATTTTATCTAGTGTCAGAGCAATTTGTGATTTTTTGACTGAATGTCTTCCCATAATTCCCTGCAAGCTAAGAAAAAATATAAATACTTTCTATGCACCTGTACCTCCCCAGTGGTTCAGCCAAATCAGCTCTTTTGAAGGAATTACTTATATTATGAATGAAGTTTTTTTCATGTCTGCAGAAAGCAACTGTTGTAAGCTAATTTGATGTGTATCCTAAGATTTGGTCATGTCCTCCAAACTTGTTTGGATAGGCAGGAACTATATTAATCTTTTTCTCAATATCCTTAAATTAGCCTTTGAAAGATTTGTACCATTTCAAAAGATTGAGTAAAGGAATAGCATCCCAGATTTAAGGAAAAAATAAAGAAAGCAAAACCAGTGGGATCTCCATGCTGCTATAAGGAAGAGCTTGGGCTTACTTACAGGCACGGATCCATGAATATGCCTGAACCTGGGTTCCAGCACATTTGTTAAACAAATGGTGCTCCATCTGTTCTAGAAAGATTAGAAAAACACTTGGGCTGAAGACTGCAGGTAAGAGGGTCAGCCAGTATACTTCCCGGGTAGGATAGGTTCCAATGAAACAGTAGTTACACCATCTGTGGTTGGTTTAGAGATAGGGAGTGAAGAACAGCAAGGCCTGCAAATACCTGGCTTTAAGACATAGCACTGTAACACAGCACCCTCCAGATTTTTGAAGTACTGTATCTGCCTGGGGTATGGCATTGTTTTCAGGGGCAGTAAGCAAGGTCTGTGCAGCTATAGGCCTGTAAGAGAGCAAGTAGTGCCTACTTTCCACCTCTGTTGGTGTGACTCTGTGGTTCTGCTGTGCAGTTCCTAGAGCATCACCTGGCACCTTGTTAGAAATGCAAATCCTTGACCTTAACCCAGAATTTAGGAAACCAGAAAATGGGTCCAGCAATTTCTAGTTTAAGAAACTCTGCACCCCACCCACCACACCCCACGTGATTCCTAGGTGCCCCAGGAGTCAGGGACGCATAGCTGTGTGACCAGCATATCAGAGGAAGATGGGGCTAGCTGAGGAGACAGCAAGTCCAGTGGTGCTGTCAGCAATGACATTGGTTAAACAAGTATAAATATTCATTTAAGAAAATACAACGCATGTGTATCTTATGCCAGGACTGTTAGAATTTAAATATAAGTAAAGCACTCTACCAATTTTTGAGGATGACTTAGCCTATGTTTTGCAGCCAAACTAACTTGCCACACATATTAAAAATAAAATTTCGTTAGAATGCAGTCATGCCTTTATGGCTGTCTTTGGGCTCCGGTGTCCAATTGATACAGCAACAAAGACTGTATAATGCACACACCAAAAACATCTAATATTCACATCTAGAGCTTTCCACAGAAGTTTGCCAACACACATCTGCAGCACAGAGGGAAAATACTCTGCACATTCCGGGTAGTTATACTGAAACCTAGTTAGGAGATAATGTAGTATGCAAGGTTCTTCTGCTTCTCGTAACACAGTCAGTATGTGGTTGAGGAATAAATAAAAAGCAGAGAGGTGCTGGAATATTTCCATTTGTCTGGCATAGCGGCCAGGCAGACAGGCCTCCCAGGGAATTCTGGGATGCTGGATAAGGCAGAAAGTGCTGGCTCTAAATTATGTAGGAGAAAGCCAAGTGTTCTATGAAGATATCCCTGCCCAAAGTCCCTGCGTTCATGTGTCTATACTCATACAAAGCTCTCGAGATGCTTTCTGCGTACTGCATTGTTGCTGCTAAAGGATTGACTGTATAGAAAGCCTTGAATTACCCTTCAGGACTCATGGGGTACTTCTGGGCTTCACTTCTGATTGTGTAACTGTGGACAAGTCATTTCAGGCCCCAGGGTCACCCTTGCTCACACTGGAGATGTTGCTTTAGGCTTTCTCCCGCATCTACCTCCTCTTTTTCTTCCGGACTCACTTACTCTCCAGGGGCATGGACAAAGGAGGGGCACAGAGTGTTTTCTGTGGTCACAGTTCATTGCAGTGAAAACAACTCACTTAGCACCTTCTTTATAAGGGGGGATTGTTGACTAGCCAAGTGCGTTCTTTGCCTGTAAAGATATGAGGCTGATTTATTCCTAGTTCACAACTAATGGTTGATTTCTTCTCTTCTACAGAGATCACTTACTGTCAGTATATCTAGATAAGTAAATATAGCCTCCTGGGATCCATGGTCTGATTATGTTTCTCATTCTTCCAGGAATTTTTCTTTAAGTGTGGAGCACACCCAACCTCAGATCAGGACACATCAGTGGCTTTGAACCTAATAACAACCAACAGCCGCAGCATCACTTGTATCACGTGCACAGACATCAGGTAAGGCTCCCAGACAGTCTCCCCTCAGTACTGTGCCTTCCCAGCACCCTCCCCTTTTGGACAGTACTTGTGACCTCTTCCCAGCCTGTTTCAATGCTGTCCACCCATTCCGAGTGTGTTTCAATGAGATGAAACTATTGAAGAAGTCAGTCACTCAGTTCAATCAATAGTCAAAGAGGAACCCAGGACAAGTGAAATGACATACCTAAAAGTAGTATAACAGTTAATCTTAAGATGTAAATTCATCTTTTAGAGCATAAAATAGAAACTTAATCACATCAGTAAATTCTAAAATAAATTTAAAATATGATGCTGACATTAAGAATGAAATAACAATTTATAGCTCATATATTTTATTCTTCAAATATCTTTTCCATACACTTGAGTTCTTCTACATATTTGTCTCCTTTAACATGGAGGCATCACATACATTCATATATCCAAAGCGAATCACAACTAATTGTAGATTCACTTATTTCTAATTCCAGTGAATACAAGTAAAGAAAGAAAATGTGGAGGTGGTACATTAGAAAAAAGAGAAAAAAAAAAGACTAGACTTGAATTACAGCTTAGGGGCCAAGGTCAAAGTTGAAGTCTCTTCAGTTTGCAAAGTAAAAAAGCTGATAGTAGAATTTCTTATTCTATAGTTTTTAGATGTACAGAATAAAAGAATTAACTTTTGTACATATTCTCTGAGGTTGGCAAATAGTTCCATATTGTAATAGTGGGGAATTAGCTATGATTACAGGAAGAATTTTTTAGTAGAGTGCTAAAATGGATTACTGAATGGAGTCAGAATTTATTCATATTTTTAAGCACACATAGGTATATACCCTCACTGACCTCTGGGTCTGGACTAGATGGCATTTGGAAGTTACTTTATACTCTGTGATTTCATGGTTAACAGGTATCAATACTCCTAACATGATACTTCTGTTCTTTTTTGTTTTTTTATTTTTTTCCAGTACCGGAAATCAAACTCACAACCTCGCACTTGCCAGGCAGGCACTGTGCCACTGAGCTAAATCCCCAGCCCTAATATTTCTATTCTTTACTACCTTTAAATTAAAACATTGACAGAAACATGCCTAGGGGCTGGGGATTTAGCTCAGAGGCACAGCACCTGCCTGGCAAGCACGAGGTCATGAGTTTGATTCCCGGTACCGGAAAAAAAAAAAAAAGAGAGAAAGATGCCTAAAACCTTAATAACATCTATCAAACAATTCTGTTTTTAAGAAGGAAAAAAATGAGACATACTTTTCCCTTTACTGCATGTTTAGTCACTACTGTGCCAGCAAGTAGTATAATATTGGCTAAAAGCACAGCATTTCAACTTCCTTGGCATGGTAAATGGCTACATGTGGCTAATGCTTTCAAAATGCAAGAAGAGTAGCTATGATGGTGCTTCTGGTGTTTCAGGAAAGGAACTGAGAAGTGCTAAAATGAGAGGTCATGTGCCCTGATAGCAATAGGTAATTAAAACCACTTTCCAGTTTAAAAAAAAAAATTCAAAACATTTTTCTGTAAGTTAGAGTGGGGCCTGCCAACCTGTGTTTTAAAAGCTTCATTAACACAATAAACGTGACGTTAAAATATGTAGTGATCATCACATTATCTGACTGTGAGCACTACCCTCCTGTTTCCTGCTGCTAAGCTGCCACTTCTATATTAATAACTGGCAACATCTTTTGAAGGAAATGAACTGTGTCTCAGGTACACAAGGAGATAATTGCTGGAAAAATACTATTGTTGCAATAAGATTTTTCATATTTTTAATTTGGGTGATGTTATAAATAGAAACTACACTGTATTCACTTAAAGTTTGTGTGTATATAACCAGCCATTTGAAGGAATAAAGCCCCTTATCGTATAAGGAAGCAGAGAAATGCCCCATAGGTAGGAATGAGGAAGAGACTCTTCTTTCTTTGACAGATTTGTGGATAAGAGTGTCATGAAAGATTGCAAGAGTACATTCTGGTACTATATGCTGTACTTTGGTGATCATTATGAGGTCACCATCCTCAATAATGCTTTATTTAATATAAAAGTCACTCACAATAAACTACAAAACATGCTAGAAATTATTTTAATCCTAGCACTAAGATGATTTTGGTTTAATGTTTTTCCAGTTTTTAAAACTGGAAATATTTACCTAAATATTTGTATGCGTTTATATGCATACAGTTTGAAATTATAGCATATATATGATTTGTATGTGGTCCATTACATTTAATGTGACATGGTAGCATTTATCTGCCATGAAATATGTCGTGAAAGCAATTTTAAAACTAGGTACCTAAGTTTTATCATATGGGGGAACTCTATTTCCCTATGGTTGATCATGTAGGTTACTTTTTGCTTAAAAAAGGTAAGTAAGAATGAAACCCATATACTTTCACAGAAATCATGACTCTATGCCTTGATTCTAAGCACACGGTTATAGGAACAGAAATAGGTCTGTGGTGACGGACTTTTTTAATATTCATAATGCATAATGCCAAATCTTTCTCTCTCCTTCTTTCTATCTCTCTCATCTTTAGATTGTGAATGCTCAAGTTTGACAGGGCTCCTTTCTACTTCTTTCCTAGAACTGTGTTTGTAGTTTTAGTTTTTGTACATTTGATACAAGAAATAATTTTCAGGGGCTGGGGATTTAGCTCAGCGGCAAAGCACCTGCCTGGCAAGCGCAAGGTCATGAGTTCGGTTCCTGGTACCGGAGAAAAACCAAAAACCAAAAAAAAAAGAAATAATTTTCATAGCAATACTTAGTTTTTAAATTATTAGTTGTATTATAGTTAGATAGAAATTAATATACAGCCAGAGAGGGTCTGGGCTCTCAAGGAAGTCAGCACAAAAACAAAGACATCAGAATTATGGCTGGAGACAATTTGTAATTGCTAAAATGTGGAAACAACCCAAATGTCCATCCACTGAGGACTGGATAAGAAAATTGTGGTACTTTTATATAATGGAATATTACTCAGCTGTAAAGAAAGATAAACTCAAGGCTTTTATAGGCAAATGGTCACAACTAGAGACCATACTCATAAGCGAAATAAATCAAACATACATGTGCAAGCACCGCATTGTTTCTCTAGTGTAAAGCCTGAAAGAGTTCATTTAAACTAGGAGATATGATAGACATTGGGAATTGATAGGAAAGCACTCATAGGTAAAGGATAACGAATATGGGAAAAGAGAAGGGAAAGAAGGAGAAAGTTTGTATATATGTATATGCAGGATAGTTAACACAGGTGTTCTACTGTCCTGTATTTCCTTGCTGAAAGAAACTGTCAGTGAGGTATTGGTTGATTAGCTTTGTATGTCTATATGTGTTTTCATGAGAAACTACATTGAAGATATCAATATGTAATACAATAAGCATTGTTAATTCCCTACCACTCTGTTTGTAACTCTGTAATGTCTGTACTGATCCTTTGCTATTTTGTAAAACGTTGTCGATCTGTTAGTATTTTCCTCCTTTTATTTCTAAAATTAAAAAAAAAAAAAAAAGAATTATGGCTGGAGGCAAATCTGAAGAAGGCCAGTTATCAAGATAGAGATACAATGGCCAGGCCTACATGCCTTCCTGAGGGATAAACAATACATTTGGAATTATACTGTAATTAGCATCCCTTGGTCCAGTAAGTCCAGATAGGCACCAGTCACCCACCAGGGCTGGGGATTTACCTCAGTGGCACAGCGCCTACCTGGCAAGCTCAAGGTTGTGAGTTCGATTCCTGGTACCAGAAAAAAAAAACAAAAAAAAACCAAAAAAACAAACAAGAATAGAAAAGAATGTACCCAGATAGGTGGCCACAGCATTTGGACCTATCCTATCCCCCAAATGGCTTTGTTCTTTCCACGTACCTTTGCTATGTGACTCATTTCCCTAGTAGAACAATATGAGTTAAACAACTATGTTTCTGATCTTGTGGGTTGATTGTAGTATGACCCACACTGTAACTGGAGTATAAATTACCCCTGATGAAGTTTCTTGGTGGCAACCCAATTGTGGGACCCCTTCTGTCTCTCAGGTAGTGTCTCTCAGTAAACCTGTCCTACTCTTAACTGTCGCTGTTCCTAAAATTCATTCTTAGATATTCGGAGGACAGGAATTCATCACTATGACATCTGACAGGTTGAGAATTATATTTGTCCCATATCAGTAAGCTCAAACATTGCTCATTTGCTTATTTGCATTTGATGCAAGAACATGATGTAAAACTTTCTTAGTTCAATAACTTTAGGGTGGGTATATGAAATAGATCTGATCTCAGCAATTATTTCCTCACTCAATAATTATAGCATCACTATATCCTTTATTTATATACATTTATGGGCTTTTGAATTTATGTGTAAGTATACTCCTGTCATCATTATAAAATTTTACATCTTGTTAGAGGTAAAATGTTATGACTTTCAAAACTCAACAACAGATTTGAAAACAAAAGTTTTTGTTATCTATTTATATTCATTTTTATATATGTACTAATCACATATCATTCATTCATTTAGATATACTTAACCATATAATAGATAAAATCAAAGGATATTATTAATTTATATAAAAATCTCTTTTCTCTGTACCACGTATAATACTAATAAAAATAGGAATTTTATATTTGTGCCTTACAGACATATAGTTTAGTTTGTGTCTTTTATTCATTTACCTCCCTCTTCAGTAATAATTCAATAAGGGCTGGGGAGATAGCTCAGTGGCACAGCATCTGCCTAGCAAGCACAAGGTCCTGAATTCAATTCCCAGAACAACAACAACAAAAAATTCAACAAGCCCCTGTGCCAGTTAGCTAACATTTTAACCTTAAGAGACCAACCTAATTTCTTTAACATTTAGTTTATGTGTAAAATCCAAGAAGTGAAGTAGGTAATCTGATTCTAACAGACTGCAAAAGAGAGGTACTTACTTATTCATAGCTTATACCTTAAGAAAACATTTGTTGGCTGTCCTATATACTGACAGATGCAGAAGTAAAAGACAAGGTTTTCAATGATGCTACCTACCAAATCACACTACATGCAGGAGGATAACTAAGATAAATGTGTTATTTGTTGGTGGTGTTTAGTGTATATATTTCGTGCTCTTTGAGTTTACACTTCAGATAAGATATTGTCTTCCTTTTAAAGAAAAAAATGAATGATTAAAGAACCAGAACCTCCTACGGTTTTATGTGAACCTACAGGCTTCCGTCTGAAATGCAGCTTAGAGTCTCTTCTGCTTACCTACAGGGTTGACCTGATCTATTCAGACCTATTGAAGTCTACCAGTTGGTAGTGTGAGGTTTAGGAATAAAAATGCAGTGAGTTGAACAAAAAGCAAGAACTTGAGCTGGAGCCAGAGGTAGAATGGTTTGGTATTCTCAGTAGATATGATATCAAAAAGTTCAAAACATTTTTGGAGACCTTAGTGTGACGTAGGAATAATATTGTTAAGTCATATAAAATAGACCAGGACAAAGCTAAGGAGATGCACATATTCCTCCCTGACTGATGTGTGTCTCTTGGGACTCCCCCATATCAGTGTTTGCTAAGAGAAAACAGTTATTTCTACTTCTTCATTCTCATTGTACAATTTTCTTCTCTAAGCATTTTTAAATGTAAAATTAGTAAATGTGCAATGCAGGAAAATTATTACCATGATAGATTTAGCGAAAAAGAAAAAGACTCATTTTTGCTCCACCCTGTGTCTGCTCTAAGATTGGCCAGCTGGTCTGCACTTTTCTTCCTTTATTCATCCTTCTTCCATTTACAAAACTGAAGTCAAACTAAAAGAAAAAAAAGAAAAACATGTTTACACAGTTAAAATTTAACCTTCCACAAACAAGTTTCAAAATCCAGTTCCCAACAAAGCATTAAATCTAAGTTAACATGTAACTTCCTCCAGTTCTTCCTGTAAAGACTTATATTTTTGATGTCATTGTTGTTGACATAAATGGTTTTATAATTTTCTTGCTTTCAGATTTGTCTTAAAATAGAATTCATTCAGATTATTGAAGCAATGATGTCATGGATTGCAGACTTAAAAGATTTACTTGGGCCTAGAGATTAGCAAAGATTTATCTCAAAGTCCATTTGTAATTGTTCCTGGTATCCCTGGGTGAGAGTGATTTAACTATCATTTGACAGTATTCTAGTATGCATTCCTTCATTCCTTTAACAAAGGGAGATAAGACTTGGGGATCTTAGTTATATTCCCTTCGGATGCATTTGTTATGTCTTAAGCTTCTTTTTGTCAATTCACATTTTATTTTTGATTATACAGTAGTTGGAATTTTTTGTAGTTCAAGATTAAGTTCTTTATTTATCTAATTTTTGAGAGGTTGCAGAGAAATCTTAACCTATCCTTCTGTCAGCTTAGCACTTTCTTAACACTTGGAAGTCACATCAGACGTGACAATTGTATCCAGTCACCAGGGGCTCAGGAGCCTTAACAGGTTAGGTCTGCATATGTAAACTAGCTGCAATGTTCACCATGGCCTTTTTCAATAAATCACTTTATTTCTGTCATGAAAAGTTGTTGGAAGATTTTTTGCATCTTCCAGCACTATAGTCTGATACACAGAGAGCTACACATTTCTCTTATTAGATCCCAATAGTGTGCATCTTATCATGTACCACTCCATGGGCAATGAATATTTTTGTGTAAATGTGGGGAGTGTCTTGGCATGTCAAATTTTACATAACATTAAGGAAAAAATCAAACAGCATGATGGGACTGGTCAAGAATATAATATTTGTATAATATATTCCCAATAAGCATATTATAGAGTAGAATGGAAGAGCTTATAAATTTTTAAAGATAAGAGACAAAACTTCAAAGATACGTCTTCTATCTTGAAGCAGGCTGCTTCACACTGTGCCCCACATGCCACAGAGTAAATTCTGTCTACTTCTACTGTGAGTGATTCTTTCCTGAAAAAGTGTAGCATACCCCAATCTAGTCCATTCTTGATGGAAAGGTCTAGAAAGCTTTCCACAGCCCATCTTTTGCATAAAGCCTTCCTTCATTACAAGAGATTTAATAGTGCTCTAAGATTCAAACATATTGCCTGAGGACCGAGAATATTTTTGTTACAGTTATTTTAAATGATTTGGACTGTCATCTTACAGGTGAAGAAACTGAAGTGAAGATACCTAAAAAATTATATCTGGTCATACTACAAAGGTATTCAACCAACCAACAAACCAAAATGTATGTGATTTGCATAATTTTCATCAAACCTTATTTCTCTTTTTTGGTACTGGTTTTCTCTAAGGCTGTTAGGCTGGAAGGTGGGTTTTCGTGTGGAAGGGAAAATGTAGCAATGAAATGAGATATGGAGACAGGAATAAATTAGAATTTCGACTGTGAGCCCTTTGTCTTTAAAAACCTACGATACTTGAAAACAACACAGCTGTCCTAAGATTGTGTGCTCTGGGAAATTTGCAGACTGCTTGAAGGGCAAAGCCCAAATTTGCCTCATGCTCAAAGGACAGATCTGCCCAGTAATGTCCATCACAAGTCTTTGCATTACAAATATTTAAATATTTGCTGATCTCAATTAAAGTATATCCATTTCATGAGATGTAATAAACAGAAAGCAAGTTCTTTTCATATAGAGTGTTCTACTTTTTAACCATCCTTTCTGAGTGGAATTTTCTAAAAGTTAATTAAATAAAATGGCAAAATAGAAAGCAATGCAGGATTTTTAGGAACTGTTAGGAATAAGAAGGAAAATCCAATTTTGAAATCAAGGTCATATGATATAGATTACTAAGCCATATTGTTTTGGGTCAGTTACTTATGAAGATATAGGACAAATATTTTATCTACATTGATATTTTGCAATGTGAACCAAGTCACTTTTAATGTTAGTCAATAACCTTCATTTCTCCTGCAGTGAACACTAGATTTCAGAACATAGCAGCTGCATCTGCAGGGTTTCCTGGAGATGTTACAGGTACTTGTGCATGAAATTCATATGCCTTCCCTTTTCGTTTAACTGTCACTGCAGGTGCACAGCAGCCCCCACTGGCAAGAGGAGGGCAATATTGCAAATCCTCCCGGACCTGTTTTGTACCTGTTAAGGTCAACTTTGCAAGTTGTAACCATCTGGATTTTAAACAGTTCGTTTTCCATTGATAGATGTTAAGAAAGAGGCAGCAGCATTACTGAAACGTCCATGGCGGTCTTGCTAAGACTTTGCTGACAGTCAGTCTTTATTTTTAAGGCTTATTTTTATTGGAAGACATTCCCACATAATCTTTAAATAACACTTTTAACCTAGAAACCTATTGCATGGTATGTGTATTTTTAATTTTATCCATGTAATTAGCACTTGATTATAAAGTAGGTGAAGTAACTTTCCAATGCAAATAAGGTTTGTGTCTATTCAAAACTTCAGATAGAAATTTTTAATTGCCGGGACATTTTTTAGTGTTTAGTAGTGATATGATCTACCTTGCTATCTAGAAACATCCTGCACATGCTATTGTTCTCATAATAGTCAAAATTAAGTATTCACAGATTTGTTCTTTGTGCTTTACACAGCTTGCAGATCTATCTGGAACAAAATAAGCAATTGTCTCAAGAACCTGGGGTGCGGGGGCTGGGGATTTAGCTCAGCGGCAAAAGCGCCTGCCTGGCAAGCGCAAGGTCGTGAGTTCGGTTCCTGGTACCGGAGAAAAACCAAAAAACAAAAAAACCAAAAAAAAAAGAACCTGGGGTGCGATGTAAGGGATTGAAGCAAGTGTCATGGTGTGTCAGTTCCCTTCCTTGTTACTTCGACAAATTTTAAATTGCAGAAAACATGGGCCCTCATCCTATGTCTTACATGTACTAAAGTGGAATTTCAAGGATTTCTAGCTCCAGATAAAAATTTTTACAACATTAATGGCTACTGCACTAGCATGAGACTACTGATACCCTCAGCCCTACAATTATCATGCAGAATTATGCACAGAGATGTACTAGCATCCTATGAGATCAATATCATGAGTAAAGTAGTTACATGCAAGCATCTTGATCTTTACCATATCCTTTACCATGACAGGTATCATAGAAACTATCAGTCTCCTCATTCAGCAGGTATTTATTGAGTTTATGGTTCAAAGAGCTATTCCAGGTACTTCAAGCTTAGATAAAACATTGTGTTTCTGATAGATCAGGGGATATACTGTAGCAGAGGGTGAGTGTGATGGAACTTGGCCAGCTTAGGCAAAGCAGAAGGTGACAGTATCCCTCAGTACCTCCTCAGGGATCCAAATTCATTCCTTTAGGCCATCTTCCCCATGATTCTTTTAAATGGCTAAGACAGAATGTTGAAAAAACATAGAGCCAGGCATGGTGCCACACGCCTGTAATCCTACCACTGGGGAGGCTGAGACAGAAAGATTGCTTCAAGTTCAAAGTCAGCCTGGGCTACATAGTGAGATCATATCTCAAAAAACCAAACCAAGCCAAAACAAAACAAAATACATGGAATCACTTGTGTTTGTGTAAGTCAGGCACCAGTTTGCCCATGGCCTACTGACCCAGCTAGCTACTGATGTTACCTGTGTATCCCAAACCATTCAAAGCAGTCTCTGCTTCTGAGGATGTGCCTTCTCCTTGCATGTTACCCTGGTGGGGACCCTATCTGGACCCCCAGTCAAATTCTGATACCTGGTACTATAACTGCAGGGTTCCATATCAGGTTTCTTTTCCTGAGCTTGAACAAATATATACTTTGTGGCGTTTTCAGACTACTGTATACAGGACTGTTTTCATATAGAGTCAGTCCAGAGTCATATGTATGCTAGGATAATGTGACATAAATGTATCTCACAAGGCTAGAATAAGTTTAACAATAGTAATTTCTATTACTCTTACTATCTGTTAGAGATTTTGTGTGCATATTAATCTTTATTCTACCTACAAGAGGAAAATATTACACCCATTTTATAGACTAGAAAAAATAAGATACAAAGAGATCATCTTACTTAGCATGCTGAAAATCATTGCTCTTAAACAGGGAACAAGGGTGGGTCAGTATTAGACCACATGATAATTCTGACACCCCTCTCCCCAGCCCTATCCCTTTAGCTACCATACTGTATGGTTTTTGAAACACATTAATTGCTTGGGAAAATTATATCATTAGTTGTGGTGAAAAAAAGGAATTGTAGCTGGCCGAGAAGAATGGATTGAAGAAGTATAGCTGGACATGTCAACTTAAATGTTGAAAGAGTAGCTATAAGATTATTGTCTTGATTTTCTTGAAATTGATAGCACTTACTTCATACACCAGCTGCCAATCTAGGACATGAGAGATCATTTTAGCCTGGGGTTTCTGTGAAGACAGTCTCCATCCTCCAGGGGAAGCCCCATGTAGGTTCATGGTGCTTAACATGGCTGTGGCTCACAGACTCTCTATGGATGAGTGCAAAGGAATGTGGCAGAGCTCTTTGGACAGAAAGGGTAAGAGGCTTCAGGGACCCTGGACAGCAGTGAGAGATGGTCAAATAAGAGGTGGTACATGCCAGAAGGTTGTCACCATTCATCCTGAGTCCCATCATGGAGATTGTCACCAGGTATCCTGAGGTCCCACTATGCAGGTTGCCATCAGGGATGCCAAGATGGCTTTACTTATCAGGGGCCTTACTGAAGGTCTCCAGGCAACAAGAGTGTTTGCTGCCTAGCCACTGCCACTGGGCTGAGTCCTACTGGCTCAGATGTCACCTGGATATCCTCAAGCGGAAATGGCCAGGATCCAGGGCATGCAGAAGGGGTACCCTAGACAGTATG